AATAAATGCAGTTTCTGTTGTTCTGTACTAGATAACAAATTTGCTTACCAAACTGGATGTGATTTCTGTTATAAATACCCCCCTTGCTACCTACATTCGGGGCCGATCAGCCTTCTCCTGCGAGAGAAGTGGCTGACCGACCTGAGCTCAGTAAATAAAAGGCTCTATTCAAATTTCTATCTGGCTGATCTGGTTCCTATGCAGAGTTGACCCATAACACTAATTATATGAATATGTTTCTTGATTTAAAAAAAAATGTAGACAAACCCAGCTGTTGTTCCCAGCTGAAATTTTCTGACCCTGATTTTTCGAAGTACTTTTTTCTCAGCATTTTAGTCAATAAGTTCCAACCAGAATCTCCTGCCAAGGTCAGTTTACAGCTTTTAAGGGCAGTTGCTCCAGCCAGCAACTCCAAATTCTCCAGTCCCAAAGGTGTTTAAACCACATGGTCAGCTGGCGAGATAGCTCAGTAGACTAAGCACCTGCTTTGGCAAGCACAGGGAGCAGGGTTCTGTCCCTGGTCCCACATGCCACGCCGGCCCTGGCCTCAGGGCGCACTAAGCCAGGGTCCAAGCCCTGTCCTGGTGGTGCACACCTGCAATCCCAGCACTGGGGAGGCTGAAAACAGGAGGATCACTATGAGTCTAAGTCAAATATATCAATGAAAAAAGAAAAACAAAACAACAATAACAACAAAAATCACACAGGCAGGGGCTCACCTCCTCTATGTAGGCCTCACCTCCGAGTAGTAAGGCAGATATAGTGCCCCATAATTTTTTTTAGTTTTTCTTTTTATTTATTTATTGTGTGTGTGTGTGTGTGTGTGTGTGTGTGGCCAGCTCAGTCCACCAGGGGGCAGGGCTGGCTGGCATGTGGTGCTGGGGTATTGAACCAGGGTCCCTGTGCTTTGCTAAGCTTGTTCTAAGTAGGTGCTTTAGACCACTGAGCCATCTCACTAGCCCCAAAGAGTCGGGACGGGGTCGCAAACCAGCGACCTCATGCTCTAGAGCCTGGCACAGAGACCGCTGCACTAGGTCGCCGTGTGCCCCATAATTTAATCATCTTTCAAACACAGGAGGCTTTGTGGGGGAACATCTTAGATCCAAACCATAATAGTTATACTCAGAAAATACATTAAAAACTTAAAAGACATACACTCAAAGTTCAGGAAAAAATAAAGAAATTACAAAACAAAATGTAAGCCACTAGAATATAGTGATTTTTTATTTTATTTCATTTTTGTATTTTAGGGAAGGGTCTACAGGATGTTGAAGGTCTCACTAATAGATAGTACTCATAGTGATCCTCCTGTTTACAGCCTCCTAAGAGCTGGGATTATAGGCGCGCACCACCATGCCCAGTCTCAATTGCCATCTCAGCGCACCAGGCCAGCATGGCACGGCAGGCCCAGGGAAAAAAAACCCCAGCCCCTGAGCCTGCTTGCAGGCTCTTTAATCCGCTGATCTATTTGGCCAGCCATAATAGTGAATTTTTAAACCAAAAGAAAATTACCATGGGGAATGAAGAACATTGTATAATGATAAAAAAAAAAAAAAAAAAAAAAAACCAGCCAAGCAATTCTAAATATGTAGTACCAAGCTCCTGTGCTAAAATACTTGAAATATGGTAGAACTGAAGGAGAAAAAGACAAATCAATAAAGGAAAACTAAATGGCCCTTTCTAGAAAATGGACAAGACTAAGTCAGGAAGGATATAGAAGAATTCAATGATACCATCAATAGTAGGATCTAACTGGTAGAGTATCCCATTGAACAAAACCAAGACAAATGTCCCTTTCAAGTGTCCATGAAGGGGCCGGGGAGATGGTTCAGTGGAATAAGTGCTTCCCTGGCAAGCGCAAGGGTCTGAGTTCAATCCCCCGTTCCGCCAAAAACCAAAATAAAATAAAAAACATATTCAAGTGTCCATGAGGCACAGCAATACATATCATACTCTGGGTCACTTTTAAAAAATATTAACAAATTAACATTCAACAAATTTAAAAGGACTAAAGTCAGACATGGTATTATCTGATCACAATGGAACCCAGCTAGCAATCAATAATAGAAAGACAGGAAATTTTCAAATATTTGGAAGATAAACAACAATCTTTTTAAATATTTCATGATCCAGGATGGGGAGATAGCTCAGCAGTTTAAGTGCCTGGCAAGCGCAAGGCCTTGAGTTCAATCCCATGTACCACATGTCATGCCTATTCCAGAGCACCCTGTGCTTGCTCGAAACTGGGTGTGGTGGTGCACACCTATAATCCTAGCACTAGGGAGGCTGAGGCAGGAGGATCACTATGAGTCTGAACTGCACAGCAAGACTGTATCAAAAAACTTTAAAAAATTTTTTTTGAAAATATTTCATGAGCCAAAAGAAGAAGATATCAATACAAATTTTCAAGATTGAAATGAACTGAATGAAAAAGATACACTGGACTAAATGAAAATAGAAATACAATGTACTAAGACATGTGGGAGTCCAATACAACATGACTGAAAGGTAAATTTAGTCAGCAGCCATACCACCCTGAATGTACTCTATCTCATCTGAAAGGAATATGGATAGCATCAAACATTTAAATCAGAAAAAAGGATTAAAATAGATAATTTAGCTTCTAACCCAAGAACAATGGAACAGATAAGGGTGGGAAAAAAGACCAAAACAAGCAGAAGGAATTACAAAACAATGATTAGAATTCAATAAAACAGAAAATGACAATAAAAATAGGAGGGAAAATCAACAAAACAGAGAGTTGGTTCTTTGAAAAGTTCAATAAAATTGACAAATTTCTAGCAAGACCAGTGAAATAAAAGAAGGTACAAATATCAAGAATGAAATAAGTATCACTAGAGACCATGCATATATCAAAATGATAATGGGAAATATGATAAATAATGTTATATACACAAATTTCATAACTCACAGAAAAAGAAACAATTCCTGTACCAACTAAAACCACAGTTTACCCAGCATGAAGCATGGAATGTGAATAGCTCCATGACTGCTAAGAAAAATTTTGTAACTCCCAGAAAAGAAATCTGCAGGCCCAGATGGTTTCACTTGAGAACTCTACGAAATGTTTAAAGACAAATTAACACCAGTTCTACTCAATCTTTTTCAGAAACTAGGTGATAGAACATTTCCTGTATTATTTTATGAAGCTAATTTACCCTGATACTAATGACAAATAAAACCAGGCAAAAACTAAAAATGCACTCATGTTCACCATGAATGCAGATTAAAAGATGTTCCCCATATATTAGCAAAAAGAATTCAGCAATACGCAGAGAACCACACACTACGACCAAGTGAGCTTTATTTCAGGGATGCAAGAATAAATCTAGATTCAAAAAGCAATCAACATAATCATCGTGCTAACAGACTAAATAATCACATGACTATATAAACCAAAGCAAGCATACAACAAAATTTGACATCTATCATGGTATAAAATTATCAGGAAGTACATTTACACACAGAGACACAAACATTGCCCCTAAAATATGCTAATTCCAATACCGCTAAATACTTTTGATGCTTTATATAATCTAAATATGAGTCACCATGCCCAGATTGAATTTTGAATTTGAAAAGGTGATCTTTACTAAGACATTATTTGACATATTAACCAATGAATAGGGACAAACCTATCTTGTGAACAGTGCAGTTTCTAATCCCAGGTGTGGTGGTTTACTAGCTAGAGGACTAGCACAAAATGGATAAGGGAACAAAATCACTACAAAGTGGGATTACAGAAAAGAGACAGATGGCCCTTGAGCTCCTTCTTGAAGAACTGAGTGTTGATAGCAAAGCCACATTTATTTGTACTGACTTAATTTAAAAACAAAAATAATTACAAGTGCAAAGGTTTTATCAAGTCAATCACTTATAAAATGCCCACAGTAGTTGACTGTGTTAATTTGAGATGTGTTAGTTAACAGAAGCTTAACTAAACTGGCTCGGCAATTAAACACACTAGGGTGTGGAGGACCCACCCAAGGTTGACTCCTTGCCTGGACAGCATGAAGGGAAAATGAGGAAGGACAGATCTGCTTCTGTTTCTTGATTTTTTTTTTTTTTTTTTTTCAGAACCAGGGATTGAACTCAGGCCCTTGCCAGGCAAGCGCTTACTCTACTGAGCCATCTCCCCAGCCCCTTGCTTCTGTGTCTTCAGAGGAACTCCAGTCTCCACCTTCACCTGGATGTCATCTCCTGGCTTCCACACAATCTCCTTTGCTTCTGGTGGAGATCCATCAGCCTCCTGCTATGGACTCACATGGGACACTGCAATGAGCTCCAGACCTGGGGCTGAATCCTTCAGTCTCCCGGGTGCAGATGCCCTCTGCACGCTTCCTCATCAGACTCTGTGGGAGGCCATTGTAAGCCAGCCTTGGAAATTCTTATACACTTGCATGTGTCTGTTTCTTCAGTAAAACACTGACTGATACACTGCTTCAGGGCTATCATTTCTCATGGTACGATGTTTTCTCTATTTTTAATAAGTCTATACTAGTATACATTTTCCTTCGATATTTATTTATTGTACTAGCAATTAAACCTAGGTTCTCTGCACTGAGCTACACCCCCAAAACCTTTTTGAGATCGGGTCTGGCTAAGTCTCCAAATTGCCCAAGCTAGGCTTGACAATGGGATCCTTCTGCCTCAGCCTCTCATACTACTGGGATTATAGGTATGTGCCACCTCACCTGCAAGCTTCTTTTTGTTTTTTGGGGCAGTCCCCAATTTCTAAGGCAGTGGTATTTCTTATACAGTAAGTGCTAAAGAAATATTTATTGCCTGAAAGAATCATGAATTTTTTAATTAAAGGTTTCAATTTTCTTTTCTTACTCTTTTCACTTAAAATATTACAAAAGCACCTTCTCTGTATACATAAGAATAAACTCACCTCATCACACAAGCTATTATAGTATTGGAAGGCTGAACCACAATTTATCAAATAATTTCCATACTGATAAATACTTGTATTACTTCAGTGTTTGTTTTGGGGTGAGGGAGGGGTTATGAATAGTGTTTTAAAGAACTCTTTTTTTATAGATATTCTTGCATCTTTTTTTTTATTTTAGACAAAATCTCACTATACAGCTCAAGCTGGCTTTGAACTCACCATGTAGTCCAGGCTAGCCTTGAACTCACAGCAATCCTCCTGCCTCAGTCTCCCAAGTACTACCATATCTGGTTTGGACAAATGTTTTCATAGACTGTTGAAAGAAGAACTGCTGGTTTAGAGTCTTCCTTGCTTTTGCAGAGATACTGTGGACTAGGAGAATATGCAAGGGCTTTACTTCAAAGATCTGAGTGTGACTCACCTTTTTCCTGGCAAAAATTCACTGTCTGCAAATCTGTATGAGATCACTGGTACATCAGTATCTCCTAGAATGTAAGGATCTGTACAAAAGAAAAAATCATAATCAAGTACTGTTACTAGAAGTTAAAACTAAAAAATAAAATTAAAAAAAATAAAAATAATTTTTAAAAGACTATGGGTGGTCCCGCTTAGGCAGAGCACAGCAGCTGGGGTTCGATCCCTGGCGTGCTATGCCAGCCCTGCCCCTGGGGTGATCTGAGAGGGTGAATGAGACTGGGCATGGTGGCACGCACCTGTAATCTCAGCATTTCGGAGGCTGAAAACTGGAGAATCACTACGAGTCCAATCTACATAGTGACACCCTGTAGACCCTGTACCAAATACAATAAAAAAAAAAAAAAAGTATGGGTGGTATAGCAATGTGTATGTGCTGTACCTGTTTTGTCATGCATGTGGGGACAGTAATAGCATCCACCCTGTTGTGGGCCACACTACATAATTTTTTGGGAAAAATCATTTTGTAATTGTGATTCAGGCTGGTTCAAGGTCTCATACGGAGCCACCCACGCTGGCTCTGATATGCGGGGACAGAATTCCAGTGCCTCTGGTCACAGGTTAGGCCTCAATAGTCCTGCAATGCTGAGGCCCCAGGGCAAGATTACATCAGCTGAAGATATCCTGGATCTCTGACAATCCAGTAGTAATTTAAAAAAAAGTTTCACTTGGGGGAAAGGACAAACTTATTAACCTGCCATCTCTCCCCACTGTCATCAATATAAGTTCCTCTTCAGGGTAAGATCACAGCAGCCCTCTCAATTGGATAATGCCCTCCTCATTTTCCTCAATGTAAATGTGATGAATAAATACCGAGGTTCTGGCTGCCTCATGGCCTTTGGTTCCCCACAGACAGCTGGCCATCCCAGATCCCTACTGCATCGCCATTTTGTCATCTGTCTTTCTTTTAGCCATGCACTGTAAAACCCTGCAGGAGGGCCAGCCAGATAGCTCAGCAGACTAAAGCACCTACTTAGGCAGCCATACGAGCTGGAGGAGGTTCAATCCCTGGCCGGCCCCACCCCCAGGCCATGCTGAGACGGTAAATGAGACTGGGTGTGGTGACGCACACCTGTAATACCAGTGCTTAGGAGTCTGAAAACAGGAGGAACGCTACAAGTCCAATATGTGTAGTGAGACCCTGTAGACCCTGTACCAAATACATTTTAAAAAAATAATCCTGCAGGAGATTGGGATCCACTGCAGGGGTCTCCAATACCACCCACAGAGTTGTGAAAGTTACACAAACTAATTTGGAAAGAACATTCAGTACTAAATATCACGTATTAAATAATATATAAGTAATATTACTTTTTCATTACTTGTATTGCTGCCACTGTGATTCACTGGGACCACAAGGCATTTCTTCATGAAGAGTTAAATAAATATTTCTTGGTACTTTAAAAAAAAATAGGCCTCACACATTCACAAAAATTTCTTTCGCATGACTTCTTGTCCTTGACCTAATGATTAAATCTGTCATCAATTTCAATTTCCTCACGTCACACAGAATACTACATGCGTCTGTTCTCCTTTCAAGATATGGCACTCAAAACCTGGACTGAAAAAGAGAAAATCCTAATGGTGTCCCATGGCTTCTAAGAAATTAACACAAAGACAGAGTGCTTCTCTGAGTGATTATTTTTAAAAAGGAAAGGAAAAATAAAGCTAAGGCCACCAGCGCGTGGTACTGCACACCTCACCCCAAGAGCTGCTAGTGGTGATTCATGGCTGTTCACCTTGGCGTTCAGATGGCATGTGATCAGACAACACAGCTCAGCCCTGCTCCATGGCTTGCTGAAGAATCCTTACTGAGCCATGCTGTGCCAGTGAAACAGAGCTGCTGCCCTGGACACAGTTAATCTGTTAGCCTGGTACATGGTGGATGATGCAAAGTTTCCCAGGACACAGCGGGATACAACGGCCATGGCACTGGCAGCAGACAAAGCTATTCATAATGTAATGAACAGACACTGATGCATGATTTACTAAGCATTCATTAGCTCTGAAACTCTGTACTTTTCTCTTTCTCTTTGTCCCTCCTCCCCCTTTCTGCCAAGAACCTATCCATTGGTTTATTCTCCGAAGTCCATTGTGTGTGTTTCTGTGTTTTCAGAGGGGGGATCAAACCCAAAGCCCTACATGTGCAAGCACTCTGCCACTGAGACACATCCCTCCACCCTCCAAATTCATTTTGGAGCCAGGGAACACCTCTACGTAGGGCATCATGGAGTAGCCATGAGCACCTTTCCCATGGCATGGCGGCCACACCTCTAATCCCAGCTCCTTGGGAGATTGAAGAGGAAGGGGAAGTGCAAGGCCAACCTGGAAAACTCGTGGAGACTCTATCTCAAAATAAAAACTAAAAAAGGGCTGAGGTTGTAGCTCAGTGGTACAGCACCTCTGGGTTTTACTCCTAGTACTGAATTGTTAAAACTACTTTTGTCAAAACAAAGTTTCTGTAAACTCCATAGAAGAAAACCTTTCAAAGTGTGTTCATTCGGATGTTACCAGTCAAAACCCAGAATGACAGCAAGGATGCAGAAGTAGGTATCTTGAAAAAATTCCTAAGGTAATCAGACCTGTCACTAATATATGTTTAGCAGGCTCATTTAATTGATATTCAAAAAAGTTTGTAGCCTGGCTCAATGGTGTACTTCCTGAGCTACCTGAGAGGCTGAGGCAGAAGGATCAGGAGTTTGAGGCCAGACTGGGTATTCCTAGTGTGACTTTGTTTCAAAATTAAAAGATATAAATCCTGGATGAAAGAGTACAGCTCAGTGCTAGAAGGCCCCTGTACCCAGTCCCCAGTATGAGGGGTAGGGAGCAGGTTGCTCAATCTATTACTACCTTTCCAATACAAGAGCTCCTAATATGAAGCACCTAAGTTTTTAGAAAATTGAAATTGAGGATCTTGAGACTAAAGGTTTGAGGGTTATATTTTTACTTGTCATTAAATTTTTAAGCATGAATTGGCCCAGCTGAATGTCAGACTGGTACTTCTGGCCTGCCTGCTACCTGTTCTTGGCCTGTGTTTCAACACCATCTTGGGCTACTTACCTCCTTGTAGTCCCTCTGTTGTCCCCAAGTCTGTTGACTTTGCTGAGGGGCAAAGCAACCACTAGGAACTTTCACAACAGTTGCTGGGATGCTTTTGGCAGAAACTTCAACAGAAACAACGTAAAACTCTGCCTGCCCAGAGCAGGGCCACCCTTTGATGAATGCCAATCTCCCAACTTCACCTCTGTAGTCACAGAGGATATGGAGGCTAACAATCACAAACCCCATACCTTTGGAGTGGTAACTGGTCTCCAACGCACCAGGCCAAACAGAACACTCTGGGGCTCTCCTTACTGGAGCATAGAGGGAAGAAAAACTTTCCTTTCTGCTCCAGAAACCATAAACATATAAGCATAAAAGCCTGCCATGGTGCTGTAGACCTGCAATCCCAGCAATTTAGGAAGCCAAGGTAGGAAGGCCACAAGATCAAGCCTAGCCTAGGCCGCTTAGTATGCAGCAAGCCCATCTCAAAATTTTAAGAAACCTTAGAAAAGGGCTGGGGATGTAGCATAGTGCAAAGGCCCAGGGTTCAATCTCTGACAGCAGAGAGAGAGAGAGAGAGAGAGAGAGAGAGAGAGAGAGAGAGAGAGAGACAGACAGAGACAGAGACAGAGACAGATGAAAGAAAACAGGAAAGAAAAATATAAGCATGAGCTGAATGAGCTGAATAAGCATGGCAAGGAGGTGCAAGGTCTCAGTACACAAAAGAAAAGGGAGACAGAGTCAGCCAGTCTTAGAGGCTTCTAAGTTTCCTCAGAACAGACCAAATCACCCATTCTGGCCTTTGAAGATGTGCATCAATGAATTTCCTTCCTGCCAGGCATGACGAAGATGTTTGTAATTGCAGCACTTTGGGAGGCTGAGGCAGGAGGGTAGCAGGTTTGATCCCGGTCTAGACAACTTAGTAAGACTGTCTCAAAAAAATGAGAGAACTGGGAATGTAGCACAGTCTTGGATGAATCTCCAGTACCACAAAAGGGGGAGGGGGAGGGGGAGGGAGGGAGGGAAGGAAAGAGACAGACAGACAAACAGACAGACAGACACAGAGACAGACAGACAGACACACAGACAGAGACAGAGTTTCCTTGGTTTGTTTTAGCTTCTTGAAACTGGCTTTCTGCTACTTCACATCATCCTTTTTGTCCTGATTATCAGTGAAGGCAGAGGGCAAACTAAAGAATGCTAGTGGCAACAAGACATCTCTGTCAAGTTCATAATTTCAAAGGCTAAACATACACACTGAGAATGTGGAACTGAAACATTTCAGATGTCTGTACATACATAAATACATATAATCATAGTATGTTACAAAAAACTGGATCAGACCATGCATAACAATCCTATTGAACTTGCATTTCCCGCTTCATGTTTTGGACACCATGATTTATGAATTTATATAGATCTACCTGGTGCTTGGTGGTGCTTTAAATAAATATTCTTATCTCCACAGTGCATCTTCCTAAAAGACTATCATGGGTAATATTGTCACTAGAATGTGAGTGACCTAACTGATAGAATTCTTATCTAGAGTCCAGAGATATTTGTTATTGACTTTTGGGTGCAAATGGGTTATGCCAATAGTTGAATGGCTTGTTTTTCATTTACATGGTATAAATCATGTCAGGCTATTGGCAGTCTTTCAAGTACTCTCCCCATTGGGGTTGAACCACAAAGAGCTATCAAATGTAGGGCTGGTAGTCTGTGAAGTGAAGTGACATTCTGTGAGGTGGACTGCACAGGTCCAGACAAAATGGGAAAACCTGCTCAGCTTGGACTCAGCTGTAGCATCTAGGGCTGTGGAAATAATCACAAGAACAAGCACAATAGCAGCATTTATCAAGCCCTTAATAAGTACCAAGGATGTTACCTAAGCGCTGAGCAGGAATCACATTAATGCTCGCCATAACCTAATATTATTGCTATTTAGTATATTTAGTAATACTTGCAGTAGTATTTGGTAGTAGTG